GAGGTTGTGGTGGTGGAGTTTGTTGGGAGCTTCAGCAGCAAAGGGAACACCAATAGAACAGTGAGAGGAGGTGTCAGTACGAAACATGTATGAAGTCACCAAAATATATAAACAACCCTTTGACTTGCGTTACATCGTCGCGTGATGTGTTGGAGGAAGGGACAACGAACCGGCTACCTGGATTGGTTGTGAGTGGATTGTCGGAACAGGAAGAGAATAAATACTGCTCAGTCGTACGGTTTGGTATACGGCTCAGACTCAGCACCTTTTAACACAGCTGCCAGCTATTTTTATGGGCTTGTTGACAAGTTTAGTTCTATAAAATGTCATTACATACACCAGTTAGATTTCTTAGCATCATTTCAAATTACAACACTGACATCCACATTCCGAGGACATATTGATATTAACGCTTGTGCTGAGGCCCGAGCGTAACAAAATACCTGAGCCGTAACTCTCTGTTACAAAGCTTCCAGCGCTATTTACTTACTCAGGGAGACCAACCTGTGAGTCTCTGAACCCACACTGTGACTGCGTTACATTTATGATACTCATAATTCCACATACCTCCTGTTTTTGTTTGTGTTATCGCCAATGTCACCCCACCCCCTCGGACACAATTCACAGCAGTGTCTGTTGACCTCTGACACCACTTAGCAAGTTGCCTGAGCTGCCGGACGTCCTTGTCTGTAACAAATCCGTCTGCAGCTTCCAGCTGATTTTGCAGTTTTGATTGCGGTCAACTAAAGTTTAGCTTTGAAAAACTAGAATTTTCGATTTTTACCCCTCATTCCCTGAATGGATCTATGGGGTCATTACCTGAATGACTCTTCTGGTATCTGCTCCGTAACCAGCATCTTGAGACCAATGAACAATTACCTATTGATTTATCAACATTTTTGTTAGGCTAAGCCTTGGGCTGAAAATGTTTAAACAACTGAACATGAAACATGTGTATGAAGAAGAATTATAGTTTAGGGGAGATTGAAGAATCTGGGGGGAGATTGGGGATCATTTCCCCCTTGTATCAGTAGATAGATGGGTGGCAGCTGTCTGATGGGTGACCGATGTGTCCCTTGGGCTGCAGGCCTCTCTCTCTTGTTCAGTATATTATCTCAGGCAGGCTTCAAGTAACATCTTCACACTGACTCGAATTTCCCCTTAAAGAAAACACAGGAGCCAGTTTGTAAAAGTAGGGTTGGTATGAAATGTCTGAGGATGCTGACCACAGTTACGTTAAGTATGCAGGTGGGGTACAAAAGGGCTCTAGTGAA